CCCAGGCACTTAAAGGCAGACTTCGCGATGAGCCAGCGGAAAGTGCGAAGGTGGCGTGGTTGAGAAACAGAAATATGTGTGCTAGTTGACTCGCTCGCGAAGAAAAGTCAGGAAACTGTCACGAAGGTTTCAAATCAGGCCCTAATCGTGCCACGTGAAATGCAATCAATCCATGTGGATAAAGGAGAGGGGCCAGAGAAAGCAGCGAGAGAGCATGCAAATGAAGGAGAGCGTAGATAAGACATCTGTCAACTTGGGCGGAGTCACTTGAGCAACCTTGCGCCTTACCGCCGCTACCTTGCCACTTTCTGACATAAAACTTCATACAGGGTTGTTTGCTGCAGTTCGCACTACCGTCTAGACGAAGAGTTTAGCTAATCATAAGTGATGGGCTGGGCCTTTAAGGGGCCCAGCCTAACGTAGTATTCGAGGGTTTTGCCTTCCAGGACAAGTACGGCAGCAATCAATCGGCCCCAAAAGGATGGAATGCCTGATTGACCTAAGTGGGAACAGATACGGGGAATTGATCCTCAACTGGCAGTGGCAACAGCCTTGGCCATTTTTTCATTGAAACCACATAAGAGCGTGCCGTTGGGAACCTGTCAGAAAGATGGTGGATTGGACAGATACAGGTGGGGGGGGTGTCCCTCGCTCTCTTCTGTGGATACAGGTAGAGGGGTCGCACTGAAGGAAATTTCATCAGTGCGATGCTGCCGCGTCCTGGCCTGTTTTCGCTACTTCGTTTCTGCCGTACTACTACTGCTACATCCGCAGAAACATCCCAGGAATGCTACGAGCGCTCGAGCGGGTAATGCTATACCTCCCAGTTGAAAAGGTTTTCTATTACACAGCTGAGCCTTCCTGCCCTTAGACCACTGGAGGAGCGAGTTATTGAGGAATGTCTCAGGGATACGGGACCATGTCGCTTGCCAGCTTCAATAGCTTGTGGAGAACGGACTAGCGCCGCGCCAAACACAATCCTTCGATATGCCCAGCATTCGCACGAACAAGACTGCATTTGAAAATTAGTCATATTTTGAAGGTCCTGTCCAGGTCACCAAGATCAATACAGCTGCTGAAGTGAGAAACAACACTAAATAAACGAGCCCATGATTCCTGGCACCGAGTCAGCTTCCAGTCACGGATGTGAGGCAATAATTTTGCTCGCAAATTCTCAGCCACTTTTCGGCGATTCTATTTCACTGCAGGATGCTTCACACTGCAGAGTGTTCGGTTTTTTTCAAAGCTATAGCAGCAGCGGCCGTGGTTCATTTCAAACATCTGCGATGCGGTGCAATAGTAATACAGCTGGCAATGTACGAGCAGTCCAACTGTGTGTAAATACGTTGTCCGTAGAGACCTCGTAGTTGATGTTGGTTTTCAAAAACAGACAGAAATGGGGCCTGCCACTGCGCCCTGTTATGCCCCAAGGGGACTCTGTAGACAGGGTATGGAGCTCCAAGCAAGATCTCCAACCTCTCAGGTTTCTTTTGGTGGAAACGTTACAATCTGACGCTGCTGCAGGTCCCTTGTCCTCAAAAATTTCAAAACGGGAAGGTGTATTTCATCTTATGTGTTAAATGCTTAGCCTTTAATGACGACGAACTTGTTAAAAAACACCCTGAAAACTTTCTACACGAAGGGGGTAGCAGGGCAGGGTACAGCATTGCTAAGAGGATCCCATTAGGGTCGTTACTTGGTCGCTGGGGATTGGAGGAACGCTGGTATTGGTAGGGGCGTCGATACGGCCTTGCAATTGTCCACCTTTGCTGACTCTGCGGATTTTTCCTTTCCTGCTGCTCTATGTTACCCCCCCCCCCCTAGTGGCCCCCGCCCCCCTCCCCCGTTTCTCTCTCCGCTGGCGACGCCGCAGAACTACTGCACAACTTCGAGTCTCAGGTAGTTGGGATAAGGAGCTGGCTGACGACGATTCTTCTTCAAGTTGAACAAATTTGGGATGATGGTAGGTAGCATGGGAAGGAGGAGTAGGTAGAGGGGTCGTACCAGATGACGAACTTTGGAGCGTCGTACTGGACCACCATTTCACACGTCATGGTGCTGCACCCTGGCTTGTAAGCCGCAGTACAAATTGCTACTATCTTTTTTTTTTATTTGAGTAACTATGCTGAGTTTTCCTACGTACAAATTCATCTAGAAGAAGCATGAGGAAAATTGTTGCAGAAGACAACCCTTCTCGGTATTTCCTTCCCTGGTACAACTCGCCCTTCACTATCACTAATCCCACCTACCGTATCCCTGAGTTCTCCCAACTCCCTACCACATTTCCGAAAATATTTTTTTACAGTTCTCCCGTATTTTTGAAAAAAACTGCCATCGGACCCGGAGCGACGAATATAAGCACTTCAAAACACCGTGAAATGAGACAAGCAGCAACCTAAACATTTTTTACAAGGCAATTCGCCCCTTCCCTCTCCAACCAGCGGCCAACTAAGCCCCTTCGCAGGTCCCATAGCCGTATTGACCTCTGGTGCAAAATACCCAAAAAGCCGTGTACCGAACGGTGTCGGCAAAAAAAAGACCCGAAATCTGCGGGAGAAGTCCTTCAGTAAAAGAGAGAGTAGAAGTCGGATGCTGCCAAGGTTTTCAGAAATCTCTCCAAAAATGCTTCTCCTCGTATAGAAAACCGAGCGTGGGGCAGTTCCCGAAGCGGACAGGCGTAGAGAGCCCGTAAAGGACAGCCGGTCAATGTGTCGAGAAAGAGCAAATATATAAATGATGCTTAGATAACCTCTCGTAGGCAAATGTTTTGGAGCCAGAAAAACCGAGATTCCGGAGTGGGCAAGTTAGTTGAAGTTTCTTTACTTATTCGGCTCGTGGGTGAAATGGCGTTAAATGCCGGATAATGCGGTGTGGGCAAAACTACGCCTGTCTCTGGCAAACGCCTGCGATATTTCAGGGGGCTCGTATGGTAGCATGCCACCCTATTCTCCACCAACAGTGGTCGCCCGTTAGCTTCCGGAATTAATGGAAAACAGGCTGGCGTCGGGCCAACCCCAACCCTCTTCCGCTGAAATGCACCAGCCAACAAAAGTGTTTCTTGGGGCTTGGGTAAAAATGTGTGTAGCATTTTACATCGAAGGTATTGAACTCACCACCGTGTTGCTGTGTATGATATTCAAGCTGGCACGCGAATTCGAATGAGTCACCACATTTGCCACAGACGAAGGGCTAGAACACTCATGATTTTCTATGAGAACCTTCTGGGCACCGTGCTATAAATAGAAACGCATATGGAGCGAAAAATACAGATTTCGCGAGTCTTGTCCGAGTTCAAAAACCTTAGCGCTTTTTTACCAGCCGATCAAGTTGGTCGCCGTTAACTTTTTAAGAAGCCGCTACAGTGGGAATAAGCACGGAAAATGGGCTCCATATGCTTGACAGTGAAGTCATGGAACGTCTTACACTGCGTGAACGAGATAGTCGTTCAACCACGATCGAAACAAGTCGGCTTCCTAAAAAACGCCTGGCATGCTTCGTTCGTCGAACGCAACAACTATCGAGGAAACTACGTCGCGGGCTTGGAACTGGGGACCATCATTGAGCAATATCATCACTAAGGCAAAAAAGAGCAGCTTTTGAGCGGCTGTTGTTGCAAGGGCTTCCTCTGCGACGTCGCTTGTTTTCGCCGCGACGCCGCAATTGAAATCTCCTGACCCAACCCCTTGGACGAGTTAGCGGTCTTTCTCTTCAATAGCTTGACTAAAAGAGCAATAAAGCCCAGAGAATAAAATCACCTGCGAGATGTTGTGAACGCGTTCGTGTGCTCTTAAGGTGTTCATATAGTTGAAGGTAAGTCCACAGAATCGACATCTATAGTAAACGAATCCGTTCTCATCTTTTTCAACGACGGTCTGAGCGTCTGATTCGAAGGAGGAATCCTTGAAAAAAAACAGTTTGAATTCATCTGAACAAAAGTACAAAATACAGTATGGGGTGAAGTGTGCCTGAAATCACTCGAAAAACCACAATTCCAGCTCACTCAGCTCAATGGTACGCTTGCTCACGTGCAAATTAGGTACGCGCTATGATGCTGTATTTCAAGCTGAATGTTTGAAGAGGCACTTTTCTAGAGAGGGCTTCACTTATTCTGCTCCTATTCAGGAACGTGGTGGTGTTCGGGTCCTGATATATGCATGAATCTTGCGAAGAGGAACAATTTTGCGTCAGCGCTATAATAGTCTTCGATATTAAAGGCAGTTGGCACGATGGTTTCCTACTAGCCTAAAATGCTAGTAGGGCGCTGTATAGTGGGGAAATGGCGAAAGAACGGAGTGAAACGGTCAAAATCCTGCGAAGAAAAAGCCTCCGTTCTCAGTGACTTGAAAATCGATTTCGGACGAGTTTCCCGTAGGCATCTTACCAATCACCGCTACCGAAGATACGGCTGCATATGTGTACCCATGTATGCATGCAGCATCACGGCCGCTTCATACCAATCCCTTCGCTTCATAATTTGCTTAGCAAATGAATGAATACGAGCGTCAGGAACGTCCATTTGTGGGCGGGCGGGCGTGGGCGTTTGGGACGTAATGTTGTGGCTTGATAGGGCCCTTATAAGGGCACCTTCCTCGGGGAAACCGCTATGCAGCGCCTGCCCAGGGTCGCGGAATTCTATCCTGCCAGGAGTATTGATCCTAGTCGTCTTGGGGGATTTATCGTGCCACTGCCTTTAAAGGGTGCAGGGCGCCGCGGGGTAGGTGAGCCACTAATTAATTGTTAACGTTGGAACGTCCGAAGCGGTTCACCCATCTAGGAGTGGCTTTTACTCACAAAATCGCAGGTTACTGCGCAGCCCATAAGTAAGTGCAATATTGCAAAATGGCCCTTCTCAAAACACTCAACGCCCCAATCTTTAACGTCGTCCGCACGTCACAAGCGGGAGTCCGGCCGTTCAACCAAACGCTCTGATATTCACTTTTTCGTAGAACGTCGCACCCTCCTCCCCCCGAAAAAGGATCCCTCCCCCAGCAGCATCACCATCATTGATCTCTGCATACAATCGAAATGTGGGCCGCTATCCTTTTCCATAGACTCGGCTTCACCAGATGTGCTTGAGCAGCGTTTCGGTCCTGATGAGCTGTGAAGAGCAGATTATAGATGGTTCCTAGCTTGCGGGGCTAAAGCTTATAAGTAACAGTCAACCTGGTCAACCTGTTCAGTATGAGCCAAAGTTTGCCAAGCAGGATTACCTTGAGTAACATTTACAGTTCGCCCGAACAAAAATAATTCTTCAGAAACCAAAGGGAAGATACAAATGTCTACGGCTTCGTTGAGGGAGAGCTGGGGTGAGTAGGCTAGTTACTTCAGTTTCTTCCCCCAGTTATTATGGGAATGTAGCCAAACAAAAGCAAGCAGATTGGTAAAATTGGACTCACAGGTTGAGGAGTCCTACTAGAGGCAGAGAAATTCAAGAGTGATGATGGTTGGCCTGTCTTTTTCATCGTCATAGCCTGCACTGATTTTGACCTTTCCAAGAGCGATTTTGCTCACTTTTCCATAAAGTTGGACATAGAAACCGACTAACTGGTCTCACTTGGACCTTACGACCAAACCATATGGAAGTACCGGACAAAGTGCTCAAGTAATTGTTCAAAAATTTATTGAGGGGTCTGGTTGATGTCTCCACTGCGGTCTAGCGCTGATCCCATTGCTCTCAATCGATCTATGTCTTGACAGATCAACAAATTCAAGTGAAAGGTGTACCAAGGTAATGGATGACAGGGTGGGGAAAAATCGTGGGCGAATATTTGCCCCCTCGATACCCGAAAGATAGCTAGCGAATAAAGTAAATAGAAAAGGCAAAAAAGCTCAACTCACAAGTTTATCCAGAGCTCGGGGATTTCTTTCACTTTTCTCAGGGGTCGAAGTCACCTTGGGACCAGGGTTATGAGCAACTGGACCAGGGTTATGTGCAACTGGAGCAGGGTTATGTGCAACTGAGGGCGAATCCTAAACCGACTGTGTTGAAGTTCACTGCCTGGAATGACAACTTCACTTACAGTTATGGATGTTTTGTCTAACGGAGCTGGATCTTGCTCCATTCTGCTCGTGCTTCCCTGATAGATCGGCTCTTCCTCCATTGGGCTCATCCTTCCCTTGGGAACTGGCTGAATCAGAAGAAGCTGTGAGTGAATCAGAAAGAAGCTATTAAGCTGAAAGCAACAATAGATAGCTTACATTGTCCTTTTTCACGGCCTTTTTGGCTGTATCACAGGCAGC